GAGCCAGGCCTCATCGTCCCCCATTCTGTCTCTTTGCATTTTATTGTGATCCCACAAACTAACATGACATTTTACATGTAACATTACCTTTTACATGCCTGGGCCAGGTTGTGCCCTCCAGGTGTTTTGGACTTCTACTCCCAGAAGGAATGGTGAGAGTCCAAAACACCTGGAGGGCCCAAGTTGGCCCAGGCCTGACATATACATATGTGTGTGTGTGTGAGAGAGAGAAAGGTATACAAGGTGCCTAGATGAGTGATGGATGGAAAAACCTCCCTCCCTCCCTCCCTCCTTCCCTGCCTGGCGTGTGTTTTTCCTGCCCTTGTTTGTTTCTCCATTCCGTCTCCTGGCTTTGGAGGCACAAGGAGTTAGCTCAACTTCTTGCGCATGCGCGGTTCCCCTCTCTGTCTCTCTCTGGGTGTTTCTCCCTCGGAGGCCTTCCCCTCCTCTCTTAGGCGAGAGGGGGCGTGGCCGAGCGGGGCGGGGGCGGGCCCGCGGTGTCCATGGCGACGCGGCGGTGACGTAGGGGGCCGGGGAGGGGGCGTGGGCGTCCCGGCTGCATATGAGGCGCCCGAGCAAGAGGGAGGGAGGGGGAGGAGGAGAGGGGGGGAGCCTCAGAGGGAGAGAGAACCAGCAAGAGAGAGAGAGAGCCTTCGGAGGAAGGAAGGAGGAAGGAAGGAAGGGGGCGCCCAGCCATGAAGACCCCCGCAGACTCAGGTTGGTAGTGGGGGGGGGGTCACAAATGGGGGGGGGATCCTTGGAGGGGGGGTCACGTGCCTTGCAAGGAAGTTTGACTCTCTTTTTTGGGGTGGGGGGGGGTTGCTTTTGCAGCTGCCATCGGAATGAAAGTTAAATTTTAGGAAGAGGGGGGGTCGGAATGTCTATATACAGACATATTTATTTATTTACATATGTAATATTTAATTTTAGATATATCTAAATGTTTATTAAATGGGGGGGGGGTCGCCTTGTCCCGCGTGGGCAGCAAAGGAAGAAGAGTGCGACCCCCCCCTTTTTAATAAACGAGATCGACCCATTGACCCTCCTTTCCAAGCCCCCCCCCCACATTGTTCTATATTTTCATTCTTTTTTTTGGGGGGGGGGGGGAACCGCACCCCCCTTGCTGCAGTGCAGGCTATATTGGGGGGGTGACTTTTATTATTTGGGGGGGGTCAAGGAAGAACACCCCCTTGAGCAGTGAAACGGGGGGGGGTCTTGACCCCCCCCCCCTTTCACTGCTCAAGTGAGTGTTTATATAGATATAAACACAAAAATATATTGGGGGGTGACTTTTATTATTGGGGGGGTCAAGGAAGAACCCCCCCCCCCATTTCACTGCTTCAGTGAGTGTTTATATACATAGATAGGTGAAAATATATTGGGGGGGTGACTTTTATTATTTGGGGGGGGTCTAGGAAGAACACCCCCCCCCATTTCACTGCTTAAGTGAGTGTTTATATAGATAGATATAAACACAAAAATTTTACAGGGGTGAACTTTTATTATTGGGGGGGTCAAGGAAGAACCCCCCCATTTCACTGCTTAAGTGAGTTATATACATAGGTGAAAATATATTGGGGGGGTGACTTTTATTATTTGGGGGGGGTCTAGGAAGAACACCCCCCCCCATTTCACTGCTCAAGTGAGTGTTTATATAGATAGATAGGTGAAAATATATTGGGGGGGTGACTTTTATTATTTGGGGGGGGTCTAGGAAGAACACCCCCCCCCATTTCACTGCTCAAGTGAGTGTTTATATAGATATAAAGACAAAAATAAATTGCGATTTGTGCAGAAAGGACGTGTGCCCCCCCCCCCCCACCGAGAAAAGAAAGAAATCTCTTTCCCGGAACCATTTAGTGCGGGGGGGGGCAGAAGAGGCGCCACGTTGCTCTTTCGGGCGGGGAGCCAAAAGGAAGCGAGACCAGAAAAGGCGGCGCGGGGGGGGGAGGGGGGGCAGAAAAGGAACTTTTGTTTCCGGAGGGAGGGGGGAGGGAAGGAGGAGGAAAAGCTGGGGAGGGGGGGGCAAGGGTCAGTTTTCCCATCGCCGGACTTTGGCCCCTCCCTCTCTTTTAGTATTGGGGGGTGCAAGAAAGTCCCTCCCTCCCTTTTTTTATTTTTTAGCGTGGGGGGGGGGGGGAGCAGTGTTTCCTTTAAAAGCAAAGGGGAAAAGTTTCATTGGGGAGAGTCTTGGGGGGGGGGGGGGGGGGGGAGGGGCATCTCTCTTTTAACCCCCCCCCATTCTGGCGCCAAGCCCCCCCCCTTAATTGCAGATTGTCTGTCTGCTGGAATTTGCCCTCTCTTCCTCCCCCCTCCCTCTCTTTTCCTCCCACCCCCCCCCCGCGTGTTTTGTAATGGAAACCTCTTTTTGCCAAACTTTTTCTGCCTTTTTTTCCCCTCGTTTTCCAACTTTGGGAAATAGTTTTTTTTTTAGTTTTCCAGAAGCAAAAAAAAAAGAAAAAAGGGGAATTCATCCATATGTGGTGGAACTGTACTACCCCCCCCTTTTGGGATATTTTGCAAATGACCCCCCCCCCTTTCCTTTCCTTCCCATACACAAACTCTCTCTCTACACCCCCTTTTTTGTATGTTTGCACCCCCCCCTTTTCCTTCCCTTCCCACACACTCTCTACACCCCCCCTTTTTGGTATTTTTGCAAATGTGCCCCCCCTTCCCTTCCTACTTTCTCTCTACACCCCCCCTTTTTTGTATTTTTGCAAATGTGCCCCCTTTCCTTCTCTTCCCACTTTCTCTCTGTCCTCACTTTCCCATTGCATTTTTTGCAAATGAGCCACCCCTTTCCTTCCCTTCTCCCTCTCTCTCTACACCCCCCCTCTTTATGTATTTTTTCAAATGACACCCCCCTTTTCCTTCCCACACACTCTCTACACCCCCCCTTTTTTGTATTTTTGCAAATGTGCCCCCCCTTCTTTTTCCCTCCCTTCCCTCTCTCTCTCCACCCCCCCCCTTTATGTATTTTTGCAAATGTCCCCCCCTTTCCTTCCCTTTCTCCCCCCCTTTTTTATCTTTCTCTGATGCTTGAATGTCCCCCCCCCCCTTCTTTTTTCTCACGCTGGGAAGAGAAAGGCTCCCTTGTTGCTGTGGCTTGAAGGCCTCCTTTTAATGGGGGGGGCTCTGGGGGGTGATGTAATTCTCTCTCTCTCTCTCTCTCTTTTCTTTCCTGAAGCTGGGATTGAATTCCATCCCTTTTTGCTCCTGGCCCCAGGGATTAGTCACAGGGCGGCGCGGTTTGCAAAGGGGGGGGGGTTCCAAGCCCCTCCGGCGCCCCGCCCACTTGCCTTTCTCTTTCCAAACTCTTCCCCCCCCCCCCCAACTCCGTCCCTCTTTCACTCTCTTCCTGGAAATCCCTCTCCAGGAGCCAAAGAGTTTCCCAAACTAGACAGAGAGAGAAAGAAAGTGGGAGACCCCCCCCCCTTGCAAATAGGGAAGGGGATCCAAGGGGCCCTCCCCCCTCCCTGCTCTCTTTGGAGTCTCCCAAACTAGAGAGAGAGGGGCGGGAGACCCTCCCCACTTTGCAAAAAGGAAAGGGACCCTTTTGAGTCCCCCCTTTTGAGTTTTGCAAACCCAGACCAGAGCCTAGTAGGAAGAGAATGGGACGCATTCAGTTGGAGAGGGAGACCCTCCCCACATTGCAAAAAGGGGGATCCAATGGACCCCCCCCCCCCCCCTTTTAGAGTTTTGCAAACCCAGACCAGAGCTTAGTAGGAAGAGAATGGGACACATTCAGTTGGGGAGGGGGCCAGAGAGGGGAGGCCAGGCTGCCCAACACAGGGGTCTTTTTGCTGTGTGTCTGGCTCTCCCTGTCTATCGTGCCCCCCTCCCCTTTTGGCCCGCTTTTGAGGCCGCTGTTGGTGCAGTGGGTTAAACTGCTGAGCTGCTGAACTTGCTGACCGAAAGGTTGGCGGTTCAAATCTGGGGGGTGGGATGAGCTTCCACTGTTAGCCCCAGCTTCTGTCAACGTATCAGTTGGAAAACATGCATATTTATTTATTTATTTATTTTTGTGTCAGGAGTGACTTGAGAAACTGTCTGCAATTGGCTGTCTGCAAGGATGTTGCCCAGGGGACCGTAATATAATATAATATTTTTCTTGTGTTGTCGAAGGCTTTCATGACCGGAATCACTGGGTAGTTGTAGGTTTTTCCGGGCTATATGGCCATGTTTTTCTCGTGTCAGGAGTGACTTGAGAAACTGCAAGTCTCTTCTGGTGTGAGAGGATTGGCTGTCGGCAAGGATGTTGCCCAGGGGACCGTAATATAATATAATATAATATTTTTCTCGTGTCAGGAGTGACTTGAGAAACTGCAAGTCTCTTTTGGTGTGAGAGAATTGGCAGTCTGCAAGGATGTTGCCCAGGGGACCGTAATATAATATTTTTTTCTTGTGTCAGGAGTGACTTGAGAAACTGCAAGTCTCTTTTGGTGTGAGAGAATTGGCAGTCTGCAAGGATGTTGCCCAGGGAACCGTAATATAATATTTTTTCTTGTGTCAGGAGTGACTTGAGAATCTGCAAGTCTCTTCTAGTGTGAGAGAATTGGCTATCTGCAAGGATATTGCCCAGGGGACCATAATATAATATAATATTTTTTGTTGTGTCAAGAGTGACTTGAGAATCTGCAAGTCTCTTCTGGTGTGAGAGAATTGGCTGTCTGCAAGGATGTTGCCCAGGGGACCATAATATAATATAAGATAATATTTTTTCTTGTGTCAGGAGTGACTTGAGAAACTGCAAGTCTTTTCTGGTGTGAGAGCATTGGCTGTCTGCAAGGACGTTGCCCAGGGGACCATAATATAATATAATATAATATAATATAATATAATATAATATAATATAATATAATATTTTCTCGTGTCAAGAGTGACTTGAGAAACTGCAAGTCTCTTCTGGTGTGAGAGAATTGGCTGTCTGCAAGGATGTTGCCCAGGGGACCGTAATATAATATAATATATTTTTTCGTCTCAGGAGTGACTTGAGAAACTGCAAGTCTCTTCTGGTGTGAGAGAATAGGCCGTCTGCAAGGACGTTGCCCAGGAGACATTGCCCGGACATGTTGATGTTTTTCCATCCTTATGGGAGGCTTCTCTTATGTCCTCCTGCATAGGGGAGCTGGAGCTGACAGAGGGAGCTCATCCACGCTCTCCCTGGAATTGAACCTGCGACCTGTCGGTCTTCAGTCCTTATGCGACCGGGGGCTCCTCATGCAAATGTGCACTTAATCCAGTGTTTTTTTTAGTTATGTTAATCCCACAAACGAACATTACATTTTTATTTGAATAGATATATGAAATTTGGGGGAGGCCGTGGTGGCACAGTGGGTTAAACCGCAGAGCTGCTGAGCTTGTTGACCAAAAGGTCACAGGTCTGACTGCCTCCCACACACCCCAAGCAGGCCCACATGCCAGTAGGTGGTGAACAATGAAGGGGAGGGTGAGCTCCCACTGTCAGCCCCAGCTTCTGCCAACCTAGCAGTATGAAAGCATTCAAATGTGGGTAGATCGATAGGTACTCCGGCGGACAGATAAGGGCTAAAGCACTGAGCTGCTGAACTTGCTAACAGAAAGGTTGGTGGTTCGAATCTTGGAGGGCGGGTGAGCTCCTTCAGTTAGCCCCAGCTCCTGCCAACCTAGCAGTGTGAAAACATGCAAATGTGGGTAGATCAATAGGGAAGATAATGGTGCTCCATGCAGTCGTGCCA